CCCCCCCTTCATCGTAAATATCATCAGACAATTCTTTGCATGTCTCCTCATACATACTCTCTCTCTCTCTCTCTCTTCTTTATTACTTGTGTTTTCCAATGCCACCATCCTCCACAATTATTCTTTTATTTCATGTAGTTTACGGGAAAAGAAAATTCATTTGGACTATGACTACTGAAATTCGAAATATTGCAACTTGACAACTGAGACAATAACATGTTGGGTAATGCAAGTGTTCTATTATAGATTAGGTACGTCTAGTTTTCACTACCTGAAGGAAGATAGAAGCACACAAAAAGAAATCAGCAATTAGAAACGTTAAGGTGCTACTCCCTCCATCACATTTTATGTGTCATTATTTGATTGGATATGGAGTTAATAAAAATTTTAAAACAAGTGAACTAAATAAATTATAAATAATTGTGCGGACATAAATCATTTTATTAAGGATAAAATATTTGAAATTATTTTTCAATATAACATTGTATCATTTTTTGGGACTAAGTTAAAAAGAAACTTGTGCCGCATAAGCTAAGATAGAAGAAGTAATAAGTAACCGCTCGGCCTTTTATCTCTACGACTCTACCCATCAAATGGTTCATCAAAGAAGCGAAATGGCTACTTATAACAACTTTATTCTCCCCACATTAAAGAAATTGATCTTGCACGATGTATCAGATAAGGCAATTTAGGTTACCACTAAAAATGGCAAAATGGCAAAAGTTCTAATCTCTTAACAACAAACTGAATTTTGGAAGCCAGTTGTGTGGGTGTGGCCTACGCCTTCCCGAAGGACTAGTTTGAGCACAACTCACTTGAATCCATCAAGTTCAACATTCGAACATATGTAAGTGTTGAAAAATTATTAGAAATCATAGTGTGTGTATGTGTATATATGTCATAAATTGTTAAATTGTATGTTTCCAAACTCATTTGAGTTTAAATCTTTGGGTAATCTTTTACAATTTGATATACAGTATACTTCCAGTTGCAAAAAGAAATCCCTCCCGGCTCCCACGCTCTTTTTTTTCCTTATTATCTACTGTAACCATGGTATTTTTCTTTAATTTGCTTTTTCTCTGTCTTTTTAGCATTAATATTACCCATAAACTTATTCCGACGCAAGCACCCCTGGTCCGACCCCGAAAAATGGAGATAATTATGACAGCCATAGAAAAGGACTCATGAAGAAGCAAGTGACCAGACTCGAAAGAAAAACAGACAAAGCTATCTAACTGACATGTGGGCCACTGACGTCGATGGTCCAGGCCAGTTATTGTGATGGGCACATATAACACTTCATTCACATTAGAGTGATTTTCTTCCATCTGCTTTGGCCCCACTGCCTTCAAAAGCTTTTTTTTCTTCTCAATAATTATGAAGCCAGTCCCAATCACAAAGATTTGGGTGGGATGCTTTACCATATATGGTTTGACAATTTTTTCATGCTTTCCTGGTTTTGATGACCCTCATTCCCTTTGGAGTACTGTCCTTTTGAATTTCTACTGAGCATGTGTTCGAAGAAAAACAGAGCCAATGAGAAAATTATGGACAATGCTTCTCTTCTTAGTTCATGGATACTTGGAGATTTAGTTGTGGATCCACGATGATCTTTGTAACTTTTTGAATCCACTTGTACGTAATGTCCTTTATGAGTAAGATGAGGCAAGAACCAGCATCCATTTTCACTTTCTAACATACTTATAACTCGGCTAGATTTCAGTTCCGTTCACTTATTGTTTCAATTTCACCTCTGTATACTTTCAACTAGTACGGAACTACTTGTCCTTGTTAGGATAAACAGCCCCGCACTCAACTCTAAGCCAATCCAACAACCATCTTGAAATAATTCAGACTCACTACCATGGGTCGATCACTCTCTATACTAGGAAATTGATGTAACAAAAAGTGCTCATCGTGAGAAATCGCTATGGTACATAACACAACACATTCCATAGCAAAACATACAGAGCGGCAATGAACATTTGATAGAATCTCCTGTATTGTAGCCAACTAAAATGTAAGTGAACAAAGCTACTGCAATTCACAATAAAGCAGGGAAGTAGAACGCCGAACTATAGGCACATACATCAAGAACAAAATCGAGTCAGATAAAGTTATTTACAAGAAGGAAATAAGGGAATACTGTCTAATTTATCTACAGCACTATACTTACTTGCAATCGAGAATACCAATTTACTCTTCTTTTCCTTTTATCTTGAAATGGTAGACAGTTAAAAACATTGGTGGTACAGTATCAGAAAGCCTCTCTTGATGCAGCATCTCCAGGCCCAGCAGGATGAATCTGGACTTAGTAGGAGATGGAGCACCAAAAAGTCCAATCTCATTAATCACATTAGAGCCCTCAAAAGTTTTAGATGTTTCACTCATAAAAATCACAAAATGTGATCTTCAAGCAATCAAACAAGGTTCATGACAAATCAGTCCAGTAATAGGAGGACTATACCGCCACAGTTCTCAGCTCAATCAATCATTTGACCTTCCAACTACGGATTTTTCTTGTAGCCCAAACTGCAATTATGTAGGACAGAAGATCAGTAAAACTCAGAAGTCAATGATATCAAACAGGATATATTTTTTGACAAGCTTTAGTACAATGACGGACCAAGATATTATGCAGCATTCATAAGCGGACTTTTTTCCTCTAAGTTGCATCATTCAGTAAAAAATGGAAGTAATTCTATCTTTAACGAGCCTGACTCGGGGAGAGAAGACAATAGGGATGAGCTTTCAACAAGCTATCGTCATTATGGTACTATAATAGAACCGGACAATATGCAGCATTCATAAGCAGACTTGTAAGCAGAATAAAGGAAGAAAGATAGAGTGGTTAGCTTTCTGGCCTTTGAACGACTGCTGAGCTTGTTAAATGTTATATGCACATATGGTAGCTTTCCAGTTGCTGAACTAGTTAGCACATAGAAATATTTGAGCTAAGTGTATAAGAAGACACTAACCAAAGCTATCCTACCTTCTACTGAATCTAGACTCCCCAATTTGCTCTATATACTATAGATTCCAAAGGCATATGTACCTTGTTTATAATGAGCCAGGGATTCTACCCTTTGGCCAGATAAAGTTGACATGATTAGGCTAAACTATTGCAAAAACTCAAAAACTGTTCTGAAACACCTGAAAAGTTTATCATTTGCCGCCGACGGGCTACTCGACTGAGGCAGGTGTTCTTAACAGCTTTCATTTTCTTGCCCCGTATTATACAACCATTTCATTCAATGACCAAGGATATTATCAAGCAAATCAATATGAGCTGCAATAGTATGCTCCAGAGGAAGAGAGGGACAGAGAAAGAGAGAGAGGGGTCCCAGCAAATACATCAACATTATGATGAAAATTCAGTACCTGATCTTCCTGTGTTCTAGTTCAGAAAGCACTCTGAGGATCACGCATTATGATCTGCCAAACCCTAATGTTATGCAGACAATGCTCAGGAGGCACAAGCCAAGAAGATTTGGTAGATTTGTTCTATCTCTTCCCAATACACGGACTTACCATGAAATTCCTCTATTTTCTTCCCACATAAGCTCCCAATTTCGATAAGTCTGGGATCCAAAATGAAAGCTCAGAAGAACCAGTCACAAACATTAAGCTTCCTGGAGCCCACTTGATCATAGGTGGCTCAGTATCTGTACTCATCCAACTGGCTACCTAAGAGATGCAGATGGAAGAATAAGATTGGTCAATACAATCAATTAAGCAAAGAGCTATTGTAACTAAGAAGCTTCACCACTTCTGTATGGAAGAAGCTGCTTGAATTCTTTTCTTTTTCCAATTCGATCTTCAAGTGACACATTCTCCCTTACACTACTAGTATGACTCTCCGCTTGCATCATTTCACATCATTTTCTATAGCTATTCATCAATTGTTAATTAACAAGTCATTCAACTTACAAATATTTCAAAAGGACATTCTTTGTCATCCCATGCACACACCAAAATGTGGCATGATACCAAAAGAAGTGAACTCCCTAGAAACACTCGCAGGGCAAGAGAAGCAATAGAAAAATAGAGGGGTGTGAGCAAAGGAGACAGTGGTTGACTCATCCCTAAAACTAGCAAAAAGAAAAAGTTGGTCCGTAAAGCATTATATTTCCTTCTGAACAGACTCATTTAATCATTTACAAATAAAGTTTCCTGCAAAGAGAATACCAGCATTAACCTCCTCTAAGATTACAGCTAGTGAGTCTTCCCCAAAAAATAATCAAATTATACTAGTATATATACACTTCTTATCATGAGCAAATATAAAGGGTTTGATAGTAGCAGATATATGGTTTTGTTCATACCTCTTTGCCACTCCGGACACTCCAAGCATACACACTACCATCACCTGATCCTGCAAAGTAGTTCAAAGCAACATGTTATCTTTCTCTTTTTACCTTCTCGTTCTTTTGGGAGGGGGGATGGGATAAACAAATAAATTTGCTGGAAAAAATTATTTCATTTGGATATGCATCTGAGGATTAAGGAAAAAAAGAAAATGAACCTAACTGTCTATAAGACAAAAGAATCCGATATTCATATACCCTTCTGGAGTTGATTCTGTCCTAACCCTACACCGGTTTCTGATTAAGCAGCTTCACGGGCTATAAAATGTCAAGTGATTCTTGCTGCGAGACAACTTTCCCTACCAAAAGACAAGCTGCTAACTAAAGCAATAGATGAATAAGCTTCCTTCTTTCTCCTCCTTTCTCTCTTAAGTTGAATGAAGTTCTTCTAGAAAGATTTAACTAATTTCTAGGGGAGGCTCGAGATCATTTCACCACTAGTACTAAGCACAAAATTTTCGTCATTTTTATTGCACCACTTCTATGATGAGTACCTTCTATGATTGTACCTGTGAAGACTTTCACAAATGGACTAGTGTAATCTAAAAAATATAAGATCTCAAATAAAAAATATGATCTTAATTTAAAGCAGGAAAAGAGGAGGAAATTTTTTTAAGCAAATGCCTATATTCTGCCAGTACGAACTCAATCCATGCAAGTCAATAACATTCACGATTTTGACAATTAATAAGCTAGCCTCAAACACAAATTTGTTGTATTTAAAGGTTCTTTAGTCTCACACTTAACCCCCCCTGCACAAATCGTGATTTTCTAAGTTGCTCGGACTTTCCAAAAATATTGTCGTACCCGTGTCGGATCCTCCTAAAATACACTACTTTTGGAGGATCCGACACGCACCCGACGGCATCTTCCGAGAGTCCGAGCAACATAGGTGATTTTGATCCCAACTAGTTGTATCTCCTATATGGATCCCTTTGCTTTTATTGCATTTTAGTTAAGTTTGCATTGATTTCTAAAGATTTCAGGTAATTTGAGACAGTTTCCCTTTATGTCACTTTAGGTCTACTTATGTTCTTTGAATTATGTAACACGATAAAAAAATTCTTAATGGGTGGCAATGACACTTGAACCCAGAACCTCTATATGCTCTTATACAACATACAAAATTAACTATAATTATAGGAGCTCTCCAGATATCAATTAAGCAACCAACCAAATTCAAGCAATTTTTCTCCATTTATGCAACCCAGCAATGCACACCCACCACCTACAAATAGAAGGAGGCCCTATAGAAGCGAAGTTTATCCTCAGGACCAAACAGTAGTACACAAAATTGCATTCGCATAATAGAATGATCCATACACCAAGATTTGGAAAGTGAGAGACATGATATCCAGAGGACTTGATGCACCATAAAAAGAAAACTGTAGCAATATCATAACTTCAAAATGGAAGAACCAGAGGAGTAATAAATAGCAGGAGCCCAGCATGAATATCATGAAGAAACTGTTACCTGATATAACAAACATTCCTTCTGGGCTGAAAGATGCCTCCAATGTTGAACTACTTGAAACAGGCTGCACATTATATGTTGATAACTGCAGGAAACAGGGTAAAAGCATAATCTATTTAGTGACAATAGTATGGAAAAAATCCAAATGCTCCTCTGAACTCAAGGGTGGAAACAACTCACAAGTGTGCCACGAAACGAATCAAGCACATGAATATGCCCATCCGTAGTTGTCAAAAGCACAAGTCTCCCATCATTACTGAACTTAACGATGTTAGCATCAGACAAATCTCCTCCAACAGAGAAAATTTCAAAAGGCCCCTTCAAAGAGTAACATTTTTTTTCTCAAAAAAGAGTAAACTTTTAACAAATTAATGAAAGCAAAAGATGAAATTGACAAATATTATGCATATGAGCATATCAAATAGTAATTCATTTTCATGTATCAGATGCAAAACCTTTTCATAATTGCGTGCATCAAACATCCTTATATATCCTCCAAAAGCAATAGCAAAGACAAGTCCTTGCTCATCAATGGCAGTAGCTGGTCTTCCTTGCACTCGAAGAAGGCCCTAAGAACAGTAAACTTAGCAATTAATCAGATAAATGAAAAGAACATTTGGTAAGGACAAATAATGTCAATGAGGTGAGGTCTTTACCTGGCATTTATCAGCTCTTTGATCCCAAAGTAGAACAGATCGATCAAGCGAGCCAGAGATAAAATACTCCTTCCTAGAGCATAAGCTAAGAGACACAACCCTGCAAAAGACAAATACAGACCTCACTTTAGGATTGATATTCATTGGAAATCATATAAAAGTTGATACTGCTGAGAACTATGCCTGTCACGATGACCCTTGAAATACCGCAAGTACTTGTTGTCATGCAATGAAAGAAGCCGTAGAGATTCTGAAACAGTCCATCAAACAAATTAGTAATTCACTTGTTCTGCTTTGCAAGGATTATGCACTTATATTAAAGTATGCCCATACCATCCCAACCATTCTTGGAGGAGTATATAACAGTTGTAGGATGGGAAGTGAAGCTAACCAGATCAACCCCGTACTTTTTGCTGTTAATAGTCTTCAAACATCTGCAGTGACAGATAAATCACATAGCACCTCCAATAACATCGGAAGAAGGCAACAGCAAGATGACATTTCAGAAAAAGAATACATATCTTATGATAATACAAAATGTGGGAGAAGAAGAAGAGCATTTTGCCAAGTTCCTATGAGAAACCACCTTTTTGATAGAAAAGAGTTCCTATGAGAAGCCAATGTGGTTACTATTGATAGGAAAGTTTAAGTTTTAACGCTTGAAAGATTTTTCCGAGTACTTAGGCACATTATATTGCACCATCAACTCTTCTTTTCATGGACCTTAATTAACATCGATGTTATTAATTTAAAAAATAATAGTTTATCCATGCAGGCGTTCTGACATGACCTTTTTTTGGCCAAACTGATATATCCACTAATTTAGTTCGTCTTAAAAGCTAAATAAAAAAGGGTGACTTCAAATCGCAACTGGAAATAACTATAACAATAACTACGCCTTATTCCCAAGCAAGTTCGAGTCAGCTATATGAATTCTTACTACCATGTTGCTCCATTTAACTCCATCCAGAACCAATATTATACCAACTGGAAATGACTAATAGCTGCAAAAGGAATTTAAATAATTACTGGGTGCAGCAGCACTTTTTTTCTTTTTTGGCAACCAATACGCCATTTTATTGAACATTGCTCTTTTTGGGCAGAGAAGGAATATTAGAACATCTTTAACTTTTCTAATGCATCGCTTATTCAGAAACTGAAAGATCTGAACCACAGCCTACCAAGAGAACCAAAAAACAACAACAAATAAAGTATGAACTATTTAAATAATTACATTGCCTATAAAGTAAAAGAAAGAAGCTTACGTTGCATTTGCAACATCATATAGACGAATGGACTCATCATCACTGGCCGTCACCAGATAATTTGATGTTTTATGAAAATCCATTGAACTGATCCTACCACTCTGCATGTAGGCAAAATCTATGTCAATATTTCTAAAATGATTTCACAGTCTAGACACTCTAGTTAAGAAAAACAGCATGTTTCACCAAATAGGATATTCTTAGTGACGAGTCCAACTGATAGGAGATAAAAAAATTGTATGCAATTCTAAATACATCATATGATTCTAACTAGAAAAGTTGCACGGTGATCAATCATAGCTCTTGAAAGTTAGTTTATACTACCATTAGTCAATCTTTCTAAACACAAAGAAAGACCAGAATATGCATTAACTAACAAATAAGGATCATGTGACTACAATATCTAGGGCTTGTTCTGTTTGTTGTATAGAAAAAAATAAAAATCCCCAGTATAAACTTCTATACTATTAGTACAATGATTGGTTTTCAGTATAAAACTCTAACTACTACTACAACTCTAATTTTTCCTGATAAGGTAAAAGTTTTTACAACTCTAAATTACTATGTAATACAGAGTTTAGCTTCTTAAGAAAAAAAGAAGGTTCTGAATAAAACTCTATATACCTAATATTTACATAACTTATATCGTAACCTATATATTATTTTGTACCGGTAGAATGAGGAATAAGAATATGTGTATTAGCCATACAAGGATTAGGTAATTTGTCATTTCTGCATAACGATCCATGTATTATTATTCATCACACCAAAACAACCCCTATAGCATAACACCTACAATACATAACTCGTCCATGAATCAAACGACCCCTTAATGTAAGAGCTGAACGGGTCTTAATACTTGTCAAATAGAACCAATCCTTTGTGTGCCTATGTATATTTCTTTCCCAAAAAATTGAGCAATGGATCTGTTTATTTCACTAGCAAGTTCTCCAACTACGTTAACAACCACTAATGTAATTTAACTTTTAAAAAGAAGGTGTATAATGCTCTTATGTATTAGCACTCATCAAAAATCACAAATGATGATAAAACAACTGCTTTAAACCAATTAAAATTTAAATTTAGCTTAGAGAAACAAGATTTTCCCAACTTAAAGGTCAAGCAGCGGTCCGGCTAAGGTTGTCCTACTGGATTTGGAAGTTACATAAACACAGAGTGCAATTACAATCTACTGCTACTCTTTCTGAACCTAATATTGTACTTTAAGTAATTAACAAGCACCAGTATGAACAATAATACAAAGGAAGGTACAAAAAAACGAGGACATATTTTCAGCTTTTAAGAACTTCAGTTTCCTGTAGCTTATGAAATGCTTAAACAAAGAGTTATAGAAAACGTACATAGTCGCGAAACGTCATGCCGACTTCCATGCTCTGTAAGATTTCTTCAGTGATCTCTAGTGAGACCTTGTCTTCTCTCTCAGGTTGTCCACCTGAGTATAATTTGCAATTGCCAACAAGCAACAGAAAAATAAAACGAATTAACACAAGGAGAACTCAAATTGCTTCTGCTTCACATTTTATACCCTACCTGCCATGGTTGCTCTTCAATAACTAGAGAGGCAGATTCTATTGCTTCTGCACTACCGACGACGGAAGTTTTCAACTGAGAACGCCTGCGAAGAGATGTCGCGCTTTTCTCTAGGATAACTCGGGATCCGTTAGAATTGGGCCGTTTTAGATACTTGGGGCACCTTTGGTAAAAATAGTATGGCCTAGCCACTTTCAAGAACAAAGTGCACATATATCAATTTTATGATATTAAGCTAGCGTTTGGTCATATAATTCTAAATTTATTTTAAAAAATTTTATTTGATTAAAGTTTGATTTGAAGATGAAAATCTATTTGAACATAATTTTTTAAAATATATTTTATATTTTTTAAAAAAATATATATAAAATGTGATTTCTTAACTTCTAAAAACTATCAAAAATATCCAACAATACCAAACAAATAAACTTGTTAATCATGTATATGTAGAACCTTTATTGATGCCATTCATTATCATTAAACCATAACCATAGTCCTGAACATAGATAAGTTTGGCACAAATTTATCATTTTTATAATTAACTACATAATACACTATCCTAAAAATCATAACCTGATATTTTAATATCAACTGTTAATAACATAATTACTAGCCACTATAATCCGTCAAATTGCAATAATATTACAAGATCCATCAGTCCAAAAGTAATGATAGTAATTAGCTGGTGGATTAGTTGGGTCATAATAGATTGTGAGTTTTTTTATAAAATACAAAAGTTTGGGGTAATTTTTATAATTCTTTAAAAAAATCAAACAATAATATTTTGGGCCAAAAATAGGTCTAGAGCTAGTTTTGGGATTTAAAAATTTTATTTTCAAAATCTACCAAAACATGGATAAAATTTATAAACAAACATATTTTGCCAAAAAAAATTTAAAAAAACTTGGCAAAATCTATGGTCAAACGGGGACTAAAATTATAACCAAAGTTTCTAAATTTTTAAAATTTAACCACTTAAAATTAACTTCAGACTCATGCTATCATAGCCGAAGTTTTTGAATTTGTACAAATTTAATCGCTTTAAATTAACTTCACACTCATGCAATCATAGATGAAGTTTCAAAATTTGTACAAATTTAATCGCTTTAAATTAATTTCAGAGTCACACGTTTAAAGTTCAGAGATATTTTTTACCCAAATCCTTTTTTCACACATCTAGTATATTGAAACAAGATGTTCACAATGTAAAGAGTCGCATTGCAGGCATATAAATTTTATTGAAATTAAATCCGTAAAATAATTTGGACTATATTTTAAATTCAAGATATATTAGTTCAAATAAATTCATTGGGCTAATATAATTGGATTAGTTATATATGTCCAACATATAAGGATTGAATAAATAAGTCTTAATCCATTGGGTCAACCCATTTAATTAGGCTAAAGTGATGAGCCCACTTCATTTAGCCCAAAATGACATCCTCCTAGAGGCCCAGTTTGGTGCTACGTGTCAAATAACGTGGCGCGCCAAATCAAACGAAACAACCAATAGGATCATACCATATGTCAAAATGACAAGGCATGCCAAATCACATTAAAAGGCCAATGAAATCGCGTCACGTGTGCAAGTGACATGTTCTGGCCAATCAAATACGGCCTTGTCACACTTCAATTTGATTGGTCGGAAAGAGTTTGTTCTTATCATAACTCTTCCCTCCCACAACTATAAATAGGGGTTTTCATAACTCAGAAAAGACCAGAAGTTATAACAAGAAGCAAGAGGGAGCTCGTGGATCAAACGCTGCAGATTTCTCTAAAAGTTACAAGCATTCAAGTGTTCTAAGAATTAAAAGATCAAGACGAAGATTCAAGAATAAGCTGCAAGCCCTTGGATAAAAAATACATCAAGATCAAGATCATATCTCAAGCACTTGGATTAAAATAAAATAAAATTCAAGATTGAGCTCGAAGGCTCTTTTATTTACTGTTGAAAAGTAGAATCAGAGGAAACATAGAGATTGTAACACTCAAATATTTGAAATAAAATACTACGATTGTTGCAATATTTTTCGGTCTTGATTTTATTTTCTTCACACAATTTATTGTCTACAAATTCTGGCACGCCCGGTGGGACAATCTCTACCTCTCATCTCAACTTTTCAATCACCAAAGTTCAAGAACATTGAAATAGCTTCAAAGAAAATCAACTCCAGTTCAACTTCTACCAAGGCTGCTAATTCCAGATTCTATGTTGATGTGGAAAGCATCCTCGATGATACCTTTGAAAGCTTTGGACCAGTTATGAGGAGCAAAGCAAGCTCGTTAGGATAACAAGCACCCCAAGTGTCGTCCGCATCAACTCCTGTTTTCGGATCTTCATCCTCAAAAGGAGCAAGATCTTCCACAAACGTACCCGAAGGAAGAAGCGATGTTGCTGAAAAGATCAAGAAAACTCTTGCTCTGCTTGACCTCTCCGGATCCAAGCACTCTGCTGTGAAGGAAAGTGATGATGCTTTAAGTGATGGATCATCCCCACTTACTCCACATAGCGTGAGCCAATCGAGGATCAATCTGTGTGATAATCCATGTTACTCTCTATCGTCCACGACAATCATGCAAGCCATGGTGACTAACACTTTATTTGTGGAGGAGCAGTTGGCAAACTTGACAGAAGCAATCGTTGGCTTGACCTAGTGCATGCAAAATCAAGATGCTAGAATCGACAAGCTAACAGATAGGGTGGGAATCTTGATGGAATAAGAATCTACCCATGCACCTGGCAAGCTCCCAGAAGTTCCAGAGAGTGATTCACCCCAAGACAAGTAGCATCCACTAAGGCTATCCCTGTCTCATCTGAAGGGATGATTCCAATCGATCAACTGAAGGAGTTCATCGAAGGAACCATTAAGAACAAGTATGAAGTTGCTACCAAGTCCTCCCTTACATAAGCAAAGCCGTACACTGCAAGGATCGATATGTTGAAGATGCTTGCTGGCTATCAACCTCCATAAGTTTCAACAGTTTGATGGTAAAGGAAATCCAAAGCAACATGTGGCGCACTTCGTTGAGACATGCAACAATGCTGGGACTTATGGAGATTATCTTGTCAAACAGTTTGTCCGCTCGCTAAAAGAAAATGCTTTTGATAGGTATACAGACCTCAAGGCAAGATCTATTGATAGCTGGGATCAACTAGAGCAAGAGTTCCTCAATCGCTTTTATAGCACAAGGCGCATTGTGAGCATGGTGGAACTCACAAATACTCATCAACGGAAGGGTAAACTAGTTATCGAATTTATCAATCGTTGGAGGAATGCAAGCCTCAACTACAAAGACAAGCTTAGTGAAGCTTCGGACATAGAGATGTGCATCCAAGGCATGCATTAGGGATTGCACTACATCTTGCAAGGTATCAAGCCTAGCACATTTGAAGAACTTGCAACTCGTGCCCATGACATGGAATTGAGCATGGCCTCTGCTGGAAATAAAAGGCTGTTTATCTATGAACCTCACAAGGGGAACGACAAGCAAGAAGTTAGGAAGTGGGGCAAGTTCGTACCTAAGCCTGAAAACAAAGAAGCTATGAATGTCAACACATCACATGTAAAGTTCACGACGAAGGTGAGCAAGAAGCAGAGTATGAAATCCACTTCTTTTAAAGATAAGCCAAGTGGAAAGTTGACTCTAAAAGAAATGCAAGAGAAAGAGTACCCATTTCTGGATTCTGATATGCCAGCTATTTTTGAAGAACTCCTCGAGTTAAATCTCATTGAGCTTCCGGAGATGAAGCGACCAAATGAAGCTGGGAAAACAAATGACCCAAATTACTGCAAATACCATCGACTTGTGAGCCACCCTCTAGAGAAGTGATTTGTCTTCAAGGACAAAGTTATGGACTTGGCTCGCGAAAAGAAGATCATGCTTGAAGATGAGAAAGCAAGCGCAAACCAAGTCTCTATCACCTTTGGCTCATTCAGTCCGGATGAATTATGTTGTTTTAAAGAAAGTAAAGATAAGGAATTACTGGAGAACGAAAAAGCTGAAGTCAATCAACCTGATGATGATGAAGGTTGGACGTTGGTGACTCGTCGTAGGCACCACAAAATGAGCCCACGAAAAGAATCAGTAGAATAACCAACAAGGAAAATGATGGTAAAAAGACCAAGGAGATGGAATCCGGTTAAGCACTTAAAGAAAGCAAAAGTGGAGGTGTACCACTCTCAAAAGCCACGAAATCCAGTGACCTTGGAGGAGTTTTTACCAAGTTGGTTCTGCATGAAGATTTCGTATGGGGGTATCGATGCCTCTTGTTGCCACGCTGACAAAGGGAAAGAAAAGAGTGATGACTTACCGTTGGCACCATCTTCGGAAAAGCTCATCGAGTCCACTCCTCAAGAAGTTAATGCTTGTGAGGAAAAAGTCACGTTCACAAATGACGATCTTCTGCTAGGTGACACTCTTCATAACCGCCCATTGTACCTGGTTGTCTATATGTGTGATGAAAGGGTAAATCGAATTTTGGTTGATGGAGGATCCTCAGTGAATATTTTGCCAATTCGCACTGTGAAAGAACTTGGTATTCCCATGAACGAACTCTCAAAAAGTCGTGTGATGATCCAAGGATTCAACCAAGGGGGGTAAAGAGCCATAGGGGCGATCAGGCTGGGAATCACCATTGAAGATATACAATCAAGTGCATGGTTGTATGTGATCGATGCAAAGACTTCATACAACATCTTGCTTGGAAGGCCTTGGATACATGAGAATAAAGTGGCTCCATCTACCTACCATCAATGTTTGAAATACTACGAAGGTGAAGTCGAAAAGAAGATAATTGCTGATGACGAGCCATTCACAGAGGTTGAGTCACACTTCGCCGATGCAAAGTTCTACTTGAAGAACCGCATTGTAAAGGAGCTAAAAACTGATGATGTCATGAATGACAAGGATGGCGAGTCCATGACTAAGAGACTTGAGGTGGTTGCCGACAAAACCAAAGATGTTGCCGAGAAGGTACACCCCAACCCAAATAAGTCTCATAAAGGGAACATTGTGTCTCACGGCAAGAAAGTAACTCATCTGCTCCAATACGTCCCTAAAAAGAAGAAAGATGAAGGTAAATCATCTAATCTCCAAACTAACATACTAAAGGGGTTAACTCTTCCGGTCAAACGAATTGAGGCAGTAAAGTCGTCCTCAATAC